TTCATATAGATACAATAAAAAAAAAATGAAAAAAAATTTCTTCTTGTGATGAGAACTCTGAGGATCTACTCTCTTAACAACTTTCTTGTATATCATACAGCAGCGTTAACAGTAGTCATCATGTTGTACATTACATCCCTGATACTTATTTATCTTATAACTGAAAGTTTGTACCTTTTAACCACCTTCCTCCCCCTACCCTCTGCCTTTGGTAACCAGAAATCTGATGTCTTTTTCTGTGAGTTTGGTGTATTTTTATTGTTTGTTTATTTTTATTAGATTCCACATAAAAGTGAAATCATATAATACTTGTCTTCCTCTATCTGACTTATTTAACTTACATAATGCCTTCAAGGTCTATCCATGTTGTCACAAATGGTGGGATTTCCTCATTTTTTTTTATGCCTGAATAATACTCCATTGTATATATATACCACAACTTCTTTATCCATTCATTCATCGATGAACACTTAGGTTATTTCTGTGGTTGGCTATTGTAAATAATGCTGCTATGAACATGGGGGGGTGCAAATATCTTTTTGAGTTAGTGTTTTTGTTTCTTTCAGATATATTCCCAGAAGTGGAATTGCTGGATCATATGGTAGTTTCATGTTTAATTTTTTTAGGAACCTTCATACTGTTTTCCATAGTGGCTGCACTGATTTATAATCCTACCAGCAGTGCACAAGGGTTCCCTTTTCTCCATATCCATGCCAGTGTTTGTTATTTCTTATCTTTTTGATAATGGCCATTCTGGAAGGTGTGAGGTGATATCTCTTTGTGGTTTCAATTTGCCTTCCCCTAGTGATGTTGAACATCTTTCCATGTACCTGTTGGCCATTTGTATATCTTCTTTGGAAAAATGTCTATTCAGGTCCTTTGCCTGTTTTTTTAATTGAATTATTTGTTTTTTGCTATTGAGTTGTATGAGTTCTTTATATATTTTAGATATTAACTTCTTATCAGATGAATAGTTTGCATATATTTTTTCCAATTCTGTAGGTTGTCTTTTCACTTTGTTTATGGTTTCTTTTGCTGTGCAGAAAGAATCTTTTTAGTTTGATGTAGTCCCACTTATTTGTTTTTTATTTTGTTGCTTGTGCTTTAGGTGTGATTTCCAAAAAATCATTACCAATACATATGTCAGGGAGCTTTTCCCCTATGTTTTCTTCTGGGAGCTTCATGGTTTCAGATCTTACATACAAGCCTTTAAACACTTGAGTTAATTTTTTTGAGTGGTGTAAGATAGGGGTCAGGTTTCATTCTTTTACATGTCAATGTCCAGTTTTCCCAGCACCATTTATTAAAGAGACTGTGTTTTCTCCTTTGAGTACTATCAGCTCCTTTGTCAAATATTATATGACTGTATATGCTTGGGTTTATTTCTGGGCTCTAGATTCTGTTCCATTGATGTTTGTTTTTATTCCAGTACCATACTCTTTACTATAGCTTTAGAGTATAGCTTGAAATCAGTAAGTGTGATGCCTCCTGCTTTGTTCTTTCTCAGAATTTCTTTGGCTATTTGGAGTCTTTTGTGGTTCCATATAAATTTTAGGAGTGTTTTTTTGTTTATTTGTTTTTCTGTAAAAAATGCCATTGGAATCTTGATGGGAATTGCATTGAGTCTGTAGATGTCTTTTGGTAGTACTGACATTTTAACAATACTAATTTTTTCAACCCATGAATGAACACAGGATGCCTTTCCATTTACTTGTGTCTTCTTCAATTTTTTTTTTTTTCTTTTGCGGTAGGCGGGCCTCTCACTGTTGTGGCCTCTCCTGTTGCGGAGCACTGGCTCCGGACGTGCAGGCTCAGCGGCCACGGCTCACGGGCCCAGCCACTCCGTGGCATGTGGGATCTTCCCGGACTGTGGCACAAACCCGCGTCCCCTGCATCGGCAGGCGGACTCTCAACCACTGCTCCACCAGGGAAGCCCCAATTTTTTTGTTTTTTCCATCAGTGTCTTAGTTTTCAGAGTTTCTTTTACCTCCCTGGTTAAATTTATTCCTAAGTATTTTATTGCTTTTGATGCTCTTGTAAATGGGATTAATTTCCTTATCTCTCTTTCAGAAAATTCACTGTTAATATATAGAAACGTTTCTGATTTTTGTATGTTAATTTTGTATCCTGCAACTGTACTGAATTTGCTGATTAGTTTGAACAGTTTTTTGGTTGACTCTTTAGGGTTTTCTGTACAGTTGTTCCTCAGTATCTGCAGGGGATTGCTTCCAGAAACCCCTGCAGATAACAGAATTTGCAGATGTTTATCTCTTATATAAAATGGCATGGTATAGCCAACCATATATAAAATCATGTCATCTACAAATAGAGACAGTTTTACTTCTTCCTTTCCAGTTTTTATGCCTTTTATGTTTTTCTCTTGCCTGGTCGCTGTACCTAGGACTTCCAGTATCCCCAGGTTTCTACCAGGCAAACAGCTGGCCTGCAATTTTGCCTATATCTCCAATAAATTTATCTATGTCTTCCCAATTACCTTTTACCACATCCTCCACTGTTTTCAAGAGTATTCTTGAAACTTCTTGAACTTCTTCATGCTCTCTTGCAAATAATCTTCGAAAAAAAGATTGGGAGCTGTTTTATGGCTTATTTCTTCCTCTGGCAAAATCTCTGAGCTAAGGCTGTGGAGGTGGGTGTGGGGACAGTGGCATGTTTTTCTCTGAGGACACCCTTACTTTAGAAACTAAGTGCTGGGGAGAAGGAGGAAGGAAAGTAGGTCTTGGTTTGCTTCTCCTGGGAAGATACCAGCCCTTTACAAGCCAGGGCAAAGGGTTGGGACCATAGGCTTAGTGCATCACTCAAAGTAGAGCCTCTGTCCCACCAATTTAGGCTGGGTGCAAGAAGTGAGCCCCTCCTCACCTCTTAGCTGCACTTGCCTAGAACTTAGTCTCAGGAAAGGTAGCTGAGGTAGAGTGTTACATGGAATAGGGTCAAAGGTTTTTTTGAAATTAAGAAAGTTCGTGTATCTATCCAAGAGAAAGGAAGACATATATCCACATACAGACTTATACACCTATATTTGTAGTAGCATTATTCATGGTAGCCAAAATATGGAAACCTGTGGAACTTTCAGCCTCACCCCCTGACCTCTAGGGAGGGGAGGGGAGAGGAGAGGAGCAGCTGGAAGTTGAATTAGTCACCCATGATCTGTGGTTTAGTCATCATGCCTGTGTAATGAAGCCTCCATAAAAATCCCTAAATTATGAGTTTCAGAGGACTACTGGGTTGGTAAACACATGGAAGTGCTGGGAGGGTGGTATATCTGGAGAGGGCTTGGGAACTCTACACCTTTTCCCCCATACTTTCTTCTGTGCATCTCTTCTGTTTGATTGTTCCTGAGTTGTTTCCTTTTATAACAAGCTGGTAATTGAGTTAAAAAAAAAAAAAAGTAGAAACCCAAATGTCCATACCATACAATGGAATAATATCCAGCAATTAAAAGGAATGAAGTACTTAGTACATGCCACAACATGGATGAACCTTGAAAACATTTATATGAAAGTAGCCAGTCACAAAAGGTCACATATTGTAAGATTCTATTTATATGAAATGCTCGGAATAGGCAAATTTCTAGAGAGAAAGTATACTGGTGTTTGTCTGGGGCTGAGGTGTGTGTGTGGAAAATGGGTATGGGATTTATTTTTTGGGGTGATGAAAATGTTGTAAACTTAGATGGTAGTGGTAGTTGCATATATCTGTAAATAGTTTAAAACCATTGAATTTTACATTTTAAATAGGTGAATTTTATTGTCTGTGAATTATATCTCAATAAAGATGCTAAAATAAAAGAGAAAGTCTAGTCACTCTTACTGTCTTTTAAAATGTACAAGATATATCTATCTTTTTATTCAAATATTAGTCAGGCCAACTTTGCAGAGCTTTTGTGATTTTACAAATCATAATAGGGTTGTATTTGCTATCTAAGTAGGAAATCATTTGTATATGTGGCAAACATATTGTGATATAATGTAGTTTACTCTTTGTGAACTCGTAGTTTTTAATCTTCTACAGTATTATATATTAACATTTTATTTTAGGTATCTTATAAATTTATTGGAAGCATTGATTTTTGTGATACTTTTAACTTATTTCTAGTATTGTAATTTTCTATAATTTCGTATTTCCCTTTCGTTCTTTTTTTCATGATTCTAAGAAAATTTACTTAATAGTATTAATAATAATTCATATCATTTGTACATTAGAAAGCACTGATTTTGAAAGCTTGGCTTTTTGAATGCAATTATTTTAAGCCATGTCTCTTCAAATATTTTAGCATAGCTATTTAGATCATGTAGTTATATTTAACTTGCATTTTTCCTCTCTGATTTGTCCTCCACTCCTCCGTGTAATAAAGAAAAGGACATTCATTTCATTGATGGTCGTCTTCTGTTAGCTATTTATAACTATTTTGTCTCTGAAGTATGTTTTTTTTTTTCTTCTAAGGGCATCTTAATATTGCCTTTATCTTTTCTTTGTATGAATTCTTAGGAAAAAAGGCAAAGTGTAATAGTCTCTCTCATTTCTTCTGTCAACTTAAATTCTCATAGAAAATTAGATACTTTTTGCCCCAATAAATTGTTGTCATAGTAAAAATAGGTTCAACTATCAAAATATACTTTTGTTTGAATGCATATGAGATATAAAAACCTGTTGTTTTTCAGATTTAAATTTTAATAAGTTGTAATACTTTAAAAACTATTTAAAATTAACCTCTTTGGAGAAAGGTTACCTTAAAAATGTTTTTAAATATTTATACATAACTAAGAAAAATGTATACCAAAAACTTTTTTTAGAAATTATAAAATTTGCTTAGATGTTTTTGTAGAGGACTTGAGTAGCCATTATTCCCCATATAGAATAGATTAAATAGATTTAAATACGATTAATAGAATAAATTAGTAGAATAGATAGATAAAGTAGATTTAAATATGATTTAGAAAATTGGCATGTGATATATTGGATTATTCCCCCTTCTTTTTCAGGAACTCTTGGTGTGATAACAGAAGCTACCATAAAAATCAGACCAATCCCTGAATACCAAAAGTATGGCTCAGTAGCTTTCCCTAATTTTGAACGAGGAGTAGCCTGTTTAAGAGAAATTGCAAAACAGGTAAAAACAAAAACAAAAACCCACCCATATATATTTATATTTAAAAAATTCTGCTGCATAATTGATTTTGATATGTCACATATAATCTTCATATTTAGTTGTGTTATATTTGTGATTTTTACCCAGTTCTATATGAAAAGCTAATGTTGTAAAATCATCCCTTTAAGTTCAGTTGCTATTTCTTTGAGTAATTATACACCTATTTCTTGGTTTAAAGAATGCTGTACAATTTTAAGACAAGGTAAGGTATGTACCTGAGTTGATGGCTTCAAATGTCTCTGCCTTTTATTGAATGTTTTCTTAAGTTATTTTGGGTAAGATATTTTGTGATTAATTGCAGTAATATTGCATTTTTCTTAAGATATTTATTGAAATTAAAATAATTGGCCGAATATTAATGGCCCCAAAATACAGAAATTAAATATAAGTAATCATACTTCATCAATTCTTAGAATGTGCTGCTACTAGGCCTTACTTGTTTTTTAATATTTCCTTAGCTATATCTTAAATTAAGTAATATAGTATAACATAATACAAGATATTTAGATATAAGCTAAGAAGAATTCCCACTTTCCCCTTCTTTAAAAAAAGGATATATTGTCAAGGGTTTTAAAAAGACTAAATAATGCCAAGTAATTTTATTTCTTCATTAGTTGTGTGTATCAGTGTGGGAATTCTTGCGTTTCTTTAGACATTTGGTTCATTGTTTAAACGATAATGGTTTGTGAAAAAATTCTTATTTCAACATTTCCCAGCAGGGAGGAAGTCAAGGGAATATACTTCAGCCTCTCTCTTCTTGCTTTCTCCAAACTCAGAGTTCTTTAATACTTCCCATCAGCTATACCCAATTTGAATCTTGAGTGCAAGGGAGCTTTCTGATGTGACCCATATAGGTCAGCTTCTGGGTATTCAGAGTAGGGTGGAGGGAGGATCTGATAAGGAAAAAGAGTGGTATCTAGCAAGTACTCCGTTTCATTGCGGACTTTGTAAGGTACTGAGTCTTATCTTCATACCATTCCAAGAGAACCAAACCACTATTAATGTTTTAAAAATATATAAAAGGAGTAAAAAAAAATGTCATATTTACCCACATATTTACCATTTCCAGTGCTCTTTATTCCTTACACTCAGTTTTGCCTTCTGAGACACTCATTCTTTCTTACAGTTTCTCACTTTTAAGAAGTTCAACTATATGATCACCTAATCTAACAGTTGAGAAGGGTAATTTTTATAATTTCCAAGTAGTTTCAGTTACTTATCATTAGATTGCTTCCCCCCCCCCATCAAGATTTAGTCATAGGCTCCTTAATCTTGGTTGTCTTACTCCTAGGTAAAAGGAAGAGTTTAAAAGACACGTATAGTCATGGAATGAACATTCTTGAACTTGTGGCAGCTTACTTTGGTGGTGTTAACGCGGAAGTGATGTTGAAATCCTTAAGAGTTCCTAATTCACTTGAACTTTGAGGATATTATGTTACAGTTAAGGAGCTAGTATTATGCTATGTTTGCTAAAATAACGAGATGGCAGTAATACTTAAAAGTAGAAATATTGAGTAAAGGAGTGGAGATAAGTTTTAGATGTAAATATTTGAGCACCGAGTGGTAAAGTTCACGTGTGTTCTGTTAACTTGTTGCTAAACCCTTCCATCACTTAAAGGCCAAGGAAGTAACTTCGAAGTTAAGATACCTCAGGTGTTAAGAAACAAAAGAAGTACTTGAAGAGCCTTATGGTTTTGCCTGTGAATTCATTACTAGAAGAATGGGAAACTAGGGTTTTTTTTGTTCTTTTTAAGAAAATAACCATAAATTCACCAATTAAAAATCAAAATAAAAGCAAATATTTTCCATAAATAGATTATATTTTCTGATTAATTTCAAATCTTCCTTAATGAGATATTTTTTATTCTAATGTTTTCAATTTGTATTGTAGTTCATTCTTTATGTTAACTACTTTTATTTTTATTTACTTTTCATCTTTGTCAAGCTTGACCATACCCCTCCAAGAAAAGCTTTATTATTAAAGATACAGTTTATATTGTCCCTCTTGTTCAAGTTTTGAATGGCATGTTTTTAGTTGACCATTATTGCCTCCATTTTTTTTATGGAAAAATAAACATGAATGCCAAATTAGATTTTTAAAATAATTATAGAATCTATAGAACTAGTCTGATTTGTATGTATTTTTAACAGAAGATCTTAGTGAGTACACACTCAGTCTATGTTGGCCAACTCTGCCCCTTCACAATACCTCCACTGTTGAACACAGATTTAGTAGACTTGTTAAAAAGTGTTGTTATATGATCTTTGGAATAGAAGTAGACATATTTTATGCTTTCCTGAGTGCTCCATCTGCTTTTCCGCATTAAAAATACTCACATGTAAATCTGTCTTAGGTTTCATTAATGAGAAATGGTGTACAAATATGTCAAAATCCTTAATTTATAATTTCACTAAAATTGGAAATATTGAATTTAAACATAAATAGTTGGTGCAATTTGTTGCAGTTTTTGTTACAATTTAATATGCTCCTGATAGAAAGTAACAGATAAGAGCTACTTGTGATAATGAAAGGCAGGTGGTAACATTTTTCTTCATCTTTGCATAAATCAGTAAAAGTTTTTTAAAAATTCTTTGTGTATTTACAATATGACCATAATCTAAATTCACTACACAAAACTATATTGAATATATATATCTTGGGATAAATAAAGGTGATGATTGATAGAAAGTGCCACCCAAAAACCAGGTCAAAAAGAAAGCTCCTTTCTAATTTATAGTTTTAATAATTTGGTTCTCTGTAATTAGTAGTAGATAATTTTTAGAGACAAAAATACCATGTAATTGGAAAGCTTGCCTTACTTGAAACTGATTGAAAAGTCTAGATAGATAATATTTCATTCTCAAATGTTGCTCTTACGAATGAAACACTTGCTAAGAATAGTTACTGGGATTTGGAAATAATCCACTATTTGGGGAACCTGCATTTTTTACTCTTGTTATACTGCACATATAGAGAGGCATTCCCTTTCCTGGAAATGGGTAAATGTATTATGTTTAGGTACATTTATATATTAGTTTATAGAGTATACACATCTCACGTGTCAGGAATGGTACTGTATATGCTGCCCTGCTTTATAACAATATTCTCAAGCAGAAAAATTGAGAAAATTATCAGGTTTTGGCACTAGTCATTGTTCAATTTGTGATTTGGAATTTCAGTTGATAGCAAGAAAATTGACACCCATTAAAATAGATGGTACATGGTTTACGATTGTGCCAAATTCTTGATTGAGTAATGAGTTGGCTGCTTGTAATTCCTCACTGTCATTTCATAGCACTTCCATTTTTGCACTATTTTCAGACTCAAGTTGCTTTTGGATGAGTATCTTTTGGAAATAAGTGGACATGATTGTTCACAGATAGCTAAGTGGGCTCTGTGTATATTTTTATCACTATTCTTACTGAAGGAAATAAATAAAGCAACTTTATACTGGCAGCAGAAGGATTCTACTAAGGTCACTCATCTGATCTTTGTCCATGTGAGGAACTGTCCTCTTTCAGTACTTCACTGCCTTGTGAGGAGCTAGAAAGGAAGATTTAGTGGAAGATTAATGTGATTCTATCTTATAAGTGTCAGTCCAGTAGAATCTCCAGCTTTACTCAGTAGATGGGTAAGTGGCTTTTAAGATTTTCTCAGAGAGTAGATTTCCTACGGTAGCTTCTCAAGAGGGGGGAAAATTGTGTTTTTTAATCAGAATATCAGTGTCAGATATAATATTTTATTTTTCTCTTTTATTGTTTGTTTTAAAATGGCAAGTATGTTTTTACAAGGGTTGAAGGGAACATGGAGTGTTGAAACAAGTTCAAAGGCAATTTACAAAGTTTGGGATCTTCCCCCACCTTTGCCAATAAAAACTTAGGAGTTATGCCTCGTGGTATTGAGAGAGGACCAATTTGTTCCATTACGAGGAAACATTGACTGTCTGTATGTGGTATGGATTAGTACAAATTCCTCTGAAAACTGTATTTCTCAGTATCAGAACTAGGGTTTTAGAATTACAGATTAAAAGGCAGCTTTTTCTTTTGACAAGGGATGGCCCTTTCTACCTACCATCACTTTTATTTTAAACAATTTTAAACTGGTAGGGTATTTTTTTCTAGTGAGTTTAGACTGTAATTTCGGAAGATATACATAGTTCATGTCTGACACTTCAGACTGTTATATCTCAATTCTGAATTGTTCTGTTTTCAACTTGATTTATCCTGTAGGGTTTCAAATAAATTTAAAGGAGTTATGTTTAGCACTTATATTGTAAAACATTTAAAGCTTATTTATATTAAGTGATAATTCTTGGAGATAATTTGTTACATATAGAAAATGGAATTGTTATTTTAAATCATTTTTTGATGTCATGTTTTTCTCCCTCTGAAGCAGAGGGAATAACCTAGCCAAATGTTTGGTTAATTAGATTCTTTACTATGTGATCCAGCAAAATGTATCAGACTTGAGGACAGTTATGAGACATGCTCTAGTCATTACACCTTTACTAAACTGAAAATGTACAATTTTGACCAGGAGACTGTTTGGCATTAACTTTTGCCCCTTCCCTTAACATAAGTGGAGGGAAATATCTACCCTGTATTATGTATTTGTTTCATTCTTTAAAACGAAGAGATAATTCTCTTGCTAAAAAAGTTCTTGTTTACAGTGTAGATTCCTGGCTATAAGCCAGTATATCCTTTCTAATAGGATTAACCAGTTTACCAATAGCCTTAAATATTGCATGATTTCATCTGTGGTGTCAATTCCAATTTATTATTAGAGGAAGAACTAATTCTGTCTGCATTTTAAGCTTTTATGCCTATAAATTTGTATTTAACAGAATTCTCTTCTTTTACATATCCTTTTTTTGAACTTTTAAAATTTATTAATTAAATTAATATCAATTATTTTATTGTGTTTTTTATGTGGGAGAGTATGTTTTTAACTTTATATCCAA